CTGTGGGTGTTTTGGAGGTATAGAAATAGAATGGATGTGAAGTTAGATGCTTTTGTTGTAGAAAGAGAATGGACGTGAGCTCTTGTGGGCGTTTTGTAGAGAAAGAAGGTGGGTGTTTTTGTAGAGATCCTTCTGTTGTAGAAAGAGAATGGACGTGAGCTGCTGTGGGTGTTTTTGTAGAGAAAGAAGGTGGGTGTTTTTGTAGAGATGCTTTTATTGTAGAAAGAGAAGGGACGTGAATGTTTTTGTTTTTGGAGAGAGGGAAGGTGAGTGTTGCCGTAGACCTAATAATTTTTTACTTAACCCACTAATCTGTTCGTTACCCGCTCATTTAAAACGGATTAGGATCATATATTTATGACCCGCAACCCGTTAATAACCTATTAAGAAAACTTAATAGGTCAAAGGTCAATAACGGGTTGACCCACCATGTTAACGGGTTTGATCCGTTTACCCGTTTAAAAATTAAAAAATTTTAATTTATTATTTATTTATTTTGTTTTTCAATTTCCAATCTCACCTAAACCTCTAATTATTGAGTAATTTTCTCTAATTAGCTAATTGATTCTCTTAACTCATCATCTTCTAGAAGTAAAAATAATCCCATTCCACTTATGACTCACCTCCCGACCTTTCCTATTCTTGCTTGCCGTAATATTCTCTAAGACTCTAACTCTTTAAAGTTCAAACTCTTCTCATATTTGTCAACCTCCATAGTCCATACAGCCTTCGACGTTCAAGTTTCGACTCCTCCTTTTCTCTTTAGTTTTTAACATTATCCCAAACTTAGATCTTAGTCTCACCAAGTCACCATCGCATCCACGTAGCCCTTTCTTTCTTTCTCCTTTGAGTTTGACAAGTGTTCTCTTTGTCACCAACTTTTCTCTCTAAAGCCTTCAAGGTAAGTTATTTACTTATTTATACTTTTTAGTTTTCTCTCAATTCCAAGTATAAATTCTATTTGATCTTGTCATTTGCTTAGATGCATTCAATTGATTAATTCTTTGAAAGCAACGACCAGACAAATATGTTCAAATGCGGTTTGTGTTTTTTGGTTGTCATGCTACTACTGTTTTTTTTTTTTTTTTTTTTTTT